AGTCTGCAGCCTGACACCTGATTCATGGATTTGGGACTTGCCAGCCTCTGTGTGAATTATTTCCTTGAAATTAATTTCCCTACATATTTATACAGGAGCTCTGGTGTTGTAGTGCTTAAGGCATTTGACTACTAACCAGGAGGCTGGCAGTTCAAACCCACTATCCACTCCTTGGAAGGAGGATTGGGCAATCTACTTCCGTAGAGATACTGCCTTGGAAACCCAAGGAAGGGTCGCTATGAGTCAAACCAACTCGATGGTAATGAGTTTGGTTTTGAGTTTATATGCTTGTATATATGCTTCACTGGTTTTGCTCTTCTAGAGAACCCAGCCTAAGACAAGACCTTAGACAAATGGATGTTAATATCAACTATTCAACCATAGACATGTTTGTATTTATCACAAACCTTAATCCTTTCTAGCAGATATCTTTACTGTGTAACTACTCATCACTGCCATTTTTCATCACTCAGCTAGAATATATTCCTCCAACACTCTTCCTCCCTCACTCATCAACTATCAACTCTTCTGATCTTACTAGTTCACCTACTAATCCATCTTTACAGTTATGTATCAGGACCACTGGACCAGAGACATAAATAATGCATTCCAATATACAACAGCACAGGCTTAATTTGTAGGCAGAATTTCCTCTGACAGACATGGGGAGAAAACATATATACATAGAGTAGATTTAGGGAGAAGATAGAGTGAGAGGAAGAGAGCTTGATGGTAGGAGAACTTGGTGGAAACTATATAGTTCTTTTATTGAATTTTTAATTTATGCTATCAAGAACTCTTTTCTTTTCCTGTATTTTTTACTGGGGTTGTTTTTATTTAAAATGATAGCAATATCCTCTCTTATCTATTTGAGTAAATTTATTACCAATTTTTTAAAAATGTTTGTCTGATCCTTACATTGTAAATAGGAGCTCTGGTAGCATAGTGCCTAAAGCACTTCACTGCTAACCAGAAGGCTGATGGTTCAAAACTCATGAACCACTCCTCAGAGGAAGGTTGAGCAATCTACTTCTGTAGTGATACCACCTCAGAAACCCAAGAAAGGGTTGCTATGAGTTGGTCCGACTTGATGGCACATAACGACAACAACAACAACATTGTAAATTACCTCTAATTTCCTGTTTCATATATGTTTTATTACTGCTGTTTTTCTTTTTTTGTTAAAATCTTTTCTCAGTGTTTGGTGATCCTTCTTAGCCTGTTCCTATGGAAGAGTGAGGCACTGAGAAGGCCAGGGAACCTCTGATCATGTAGTATGAGTGTGGCCAGCAGGTTCACTGAAGGGTAATCAATGTGAACACTTTCTTAGGAAGATTCCTAGCATCAGGGTCATCAGTCTCTTTTCTTGGATTGACCAGTTTCCCTGGAGAATGATCTTCCAATCTCCTACCAGAGGAGGGGCTGGGGGCTGGGAGTTTTCCTATTCATATACAGCTTTACACTCAATCTTCTTGACCTCAGTGTCCACTGTGACTTGTGTACCTGTGGGCAAATCTTTCAGTGAGGGAGCATCCAGTCTTCTGCTGAGATTGAGAAAAGGCAGCCATCCTGCTCTAAGAAAGGGCTCTACACTTCTGTTTTTAAATAGGTTTTCAGCCCATTCTTTTATTTTCAGTTCCATCTGCCCTGACTTCCAGATCATAGTATCTCTACATCCTGAACCTTTCTGGAGATGTGTGGTACAAACTGTGCTGCTCATAGACTTCCATTTACTAGATCATATTTCTATTTTTCTAGAACGATTACCAGTTTCTGTTCATTTCTGGCTCCAAACATTTTGTTGTTTTTGTCATCTCTCTAATTTTTGTTATCCTTGTGGATTTATGCTTTCTTTAATTCTTTTAGAAATTGCTGGGTGACACAAAAAGTGAAGCCCTTAGATATTAATCAAAAGGTTGGTGATTAGAATGCACCCAGACTTGCCTCAGAAGAAAATCTGGCTATCTGCTTCCAAAAGGTCACAGCATTGAAAAATCTGTGGAGCACAATTCTACTCTGAAACACATGACTTATGACACTGGTTTGATTATGGCTTTTAACTTTTTTTATTTTATTTAATTATGTTTTGGGGAAACTGAGATAAATATGAGGGTTTTTTTTTTTTTTTTTTTTGCTATATTTAACTGGCTTTTTGGTATAACACCTTTACATAGTAATAGCAAGGTAAAATGTATTACTTTCATTTTGTGAGTAGGGTTAGGTAAAAACAAAGGACAGAGCGAATTCTGGTCTAGTAAATGATGACTTTACCATTTATGTACTATGTTCTGAATCTACAGTGTAAATCAATACCTGTAATGGTTGTTGCTGTTATTAGGTGTCATTGAGTAAATTCTGACTCATAGTGACACCATATGACAGTGCAGAATTGCCCCCCATATGGTTTTCTAGGCTGTAATCTTCACAGGAGCAGATCACTAGGTCTTTTTCTCATAGAGCAGCTGAATGGGTGCAAATCACCAACCTTTCAGTTAATAGCAGAACACTTTATTGGTAGTGCTGTGGTTAAGGCATTGGGCTGCTAACCAAAAGGTAGATGGTTCAAACCCACCAGCTGCTCCATGGGAAGAAGATGAGGCAATTTATTTCCCTAAAGAGTTACAGTCTTGGAAACCTGATGGGGGTCTCTATGAATCAGAATTGACTCGATGGCAGTGGATTTCTTATTCTTTTATTGTTATTGTCTATACCTCTTGTGTACCTCTTCCTTAGTGATATTGGCAAGTTATCCACACTAAAGGTAAATATTATTACATACATAATACTGCATTATCAGTAATAGAAGATACTAATCTATGGGTGCATACAAGAGTAGACAGGCAAGAAGATCAGGTATGGGTAGGCAAAAAGAATATACCCATGACCACACATAGGTTGGGCAGACGATATTCCTACATGCATACATGTATGTACTATAAAAATATCTACAGGCACTGTAGAGCTAACAGTGGACAAAGTTAGGATAACTTCCTAGCCACAACTAAGAATCTTGAGGGTGTGCATCACTGAGCCTGTGGGCTTGAGACCATGGTATCTGGTAACATGAAGCTCAATTGGCACAGCCTAGTACACGAAAGGGAGCTCTGGTAGTGTAGTGCCTCTGGTAGTGTAGTGCCTAAGGCACTTGACTGCTAACCGGAAGGCTGGTAGTTCAAACCCACCAACCACTCCTCGGAAGGAAGATGGGGCAATCTGCTTCCGTAGTGACACTGCCTCAGAAACCCGAGGAGGGGTCACTATGAATTGGGGCCAACTCGACGGCACATAACAACAACAACAACAGTACTCAAAAACAATGTTCTACATTCTATTTTGGTGAACAGCGATTAGGGTGTTAAAAGTTTGTGAGCAGCCATCTAAGATGAAGTTATTGGTCTCTCCTCATCCACAGCAAAGAAAAGTGAAGAAAATCGAAGATGCATGGAAACAATTAGTCCAAAAGGCTAATGGACCTTGAGAACCTCAGCTTATACTACCCTGAGACCAGAAGAACTAGATAGCTATCACTGCCAACCACTTGGAAAGGGATCGGAATTGGAGATCCTGCACAGAGTGGTAAAATTGTGGAATAATTTTTTTTTTTTTTTTTTTAAAGACCAGGATTACTAGTGAGATAGAGACAGGTGAAATCCCTAGACCATGGCTCCAAGTCACTCTTTAGGCCTGGAATTGGACTCATTCTCATGGCTTAACTCAGCCAAACAATTGACAGGACAATGAGCCAAACAACTACACCAGGGAGATGCACTCCTTTGAACAATCAGTTATGGGAGATAAGAAGTGCATTGCATTTGCACAGGGAGAAAGATAGGGTGGCAGAAATGCATAGGGAAAAGGTGACCACAGAGAGGAGGTGGTCAGAATAGCTGTTACATAGTGGGGATTGTAATCAGAGTCACAAAACAAAATGTGTATGATCTATTGAATGTAAAACAAATCTGCTTTGTAAAATTTCACCCAAATCACAATAAAAAGGTTTTAAAAAAAACCCAGCAGGACACTTAACTGTTGTACTACCAGGGATCCTTCCCCTAACAGTCCCCTACTGCCATCGAGTCAATCCTGACCCACAGAGACCCTACAGGACAGGGTAGAACTGTCCCATAGGGTTTCCAAGGCTGTAATCTTTATGGAAGTAGACTGTCACGTCTTTTTCTCATAGATAGGCTTGTGGATTTCAACTGCCAACTTTTCGGTTAGCCACTGACTGCTATTTCACTACTGCACGAGTAGGGCCCCCTAATGGTAATACTTGCTTTTTTCTGTGTCCCTCAGCCTGAGATTGTCTGTGTGTCAACGTTCTACCTTCCCCTATCTTTATCCCTAAAGATGAATGAATCTGCTTTCACATGCAAAGAAAACTGTAGTCAAGAAATATCATCAGTTTTTCTTTTTCATATACAACTTTGGCTCAATTCAACAAACATTGGCCACTATATAAACTAAGTATTCAAAAATGTAAAAGACAGACCTCTGCCCATGAGAAATTCAAAGCCTTATTTACACTATGGTACGTCACAAATTCCCATGTAGTAATTGGGACTGGATCCTGCAGACAGAGCACCCTGAGTGGTGCAAACAGTTAATGCACATAGCTATTAACTGAAAGACTGGAAGTTCGAGTTCACCCAAAGGTGCCTCAGAAGAAAAGCCTGGTGATCTATATCCCAAAAAATCCACCATTGAAAACCCTAGGGATCACAGTTTTACTCTGACACAAAAGAGGTCATCATCAGTCAGAGTGGACATGTTGGCAACTAGTTTCCCACATAGAGAAAGTACTGGGTGATGGTTGACCAATAGTTTCTCACTGGATTTTCACTCACACTGATGTTATTTTCTTTCATTTTCTATATATGGGCTTCTAAAATGGAATCATTATTGAAGGTCATTAAAAATTAGCCTGAATCCCAATATATGATAATGTATGAAAGTAAAATAGTCAGCATTTCTCCTTAAAGGGAAAAATGAACAGACCCAAAAGAGTCCTATAGTTGGTGCATTATCTGTCCATGACTCTCTTGAGTCAGGTCAACTGATAGGGGCTCCTGTGGTGACTAGACTGTAGTAGGCTCCTTTCTGGGCCATCAGTTCTTCATGGGTCCCCTTTTCAATCACCACACCCTGTGACATGACAGCAATGATATCTGAGTTCTGGATGGTGGACAAGCGATGGGCAATGACAATGCAGGTCCGCCCCTCTCTGGCTTTGTCCAGGGCAACTTGCACGGTCTGCAAAGAGAAGATAGACAGTTGCTGCAAAGGTACATGATTATCTGCCAGCTTTCCATCACAAGAGTTAAGTTTAACACCATCTGAGTTACAGTGCTATTAAAAATACAAAAACAAAAAAACACATCGAAACCCATTGCCATACAGTCAATTGTATTGACTCAATTATATTGACATATATTACAGAGTGGAATGCTCCATAGAGTTTTCTTGGCTATAATCATCACAGAAGCAGATTGTCAGGCCTTTCTTCTGTGGTGCTGCTGGTTGAGTTCAAACCACCAAGTCAAGATAGTGGTCAAGTACAAATTGTTTGCACCACCCAGGACGTTCATAGTGCAACACACAGAGGTAAACTCAAAAACTATAGAAGAGAGAGGATTAAGCAAGCATTTCCTGAATGTGATGCATCAATGATTTAAATTATAGTCCACAGGCTGAGAAATTTCAGTAAGAATAAACCAACTGCGAGGTCACTATGTAATTTTACAATACATGGTGGTCTAATTTGCTGAAATGAAACCAAGGAGGCCATGTAAACTAACAGTTAATTGGTCAATCCTAGTCTATTCTTCACTGAGGACATTATGGTTTTTTTTTTTTACAAAATGTACTATCGGTTTTCAAGGTGCTAATTATTTAATGTTAAATTTCATAATTGTCCTTTGCACAATTGCATCTCCTTTTATGTGTGCTGAACATCAGATACATCCTTTTTTGTATTCTGTGCTGCCCATGTGCTCTGCCACATAACTTTAGAACTATAAAATAGAAAGTGTCTAACAGATAACCTAAGAATTATTTTACTATATTTATCTTTCTTTAGAAAGATAATTATTTTCCCTTGAAAGGTCATTAAAAATTAGCCCGAATCCCGATATATGACAATGACTATGAAGGTTAAAATACTAGCATTTCTCCTCAAAGGGAAAACAAACAAACAAACAAACGAAAAACTCACAGGAGGACTGTAGTTGGCACATTATCTGTTCATGACTTTCTTGGGTTGGATCAATTGATGGCCCAAAGAATCTGAACAATAATGCTTAAAGTTTAAGAATTTTTATTTCAAGCAGTTGCATTTTAAATCACTTTCTCTAGATTATTGTCTTTTGATTCCACAAAGTACTGCCAATTTCTACTGTTAATGAATCAGAAAATTGAAAATAGTGCCATTTTTCATAAGGACAAATCTTACACACAAAGATCACTTATAATGATCTGTTGCTGTTATGTGCCGTTGAGTCGGACCTGACACATAGCGACCCCTCCTTGGGTTTCCGAGGCAGTATCACTACAGAAGTAGATTGCCCAACCTAATAATCTAAGACTTTAGAAAATCAATATGTACCTTTTCACTTTCTGTGTCCAAAGCAGAAGTGGCTTCATCTAGTAGCAAGATTTTAGGATTTCGTAGGATGGCCCGGGCAATAGCAATGCGCTGTTTCTCCCCTCGAGAGAGCTGAGACCCCTGAGCGCCAACATTAGTTTCATATTTCTGGAAGAAGTATGGTATATTTGAGAACCAGAGACATCCATTTCTCCTATGCCAAATGGAGCCCACATCAATGTGAATTTAACCATTTGTTGTTTCTGAAATTGGGAATAGTGTACAAAAGATGTCAAATGTACCTAGAAATATAAGGAAAATATGGAGTGTATGGCCTTTGGTGTTGGGAAATAAGGGGACCATATTTCCTCTTCTCTTCAATTTTTGTTAAGTTTGTGTTTTCAATTTCTTTTTCCCTGATGTATGAAATTCCCCTGATTTAAGAATTGACCAACTCAGTGACTCTTGTCTGGAAGATCTTTCCAAGATGATGATAACCTCAGGAATGGAAGGGCCCTTAGAGAGATTTTTTTGGATCATTCCCTAATTGGAAAGGCTTCATCCTGGAACACAAGCCTGGGGTTGACTCTCCACTCTGCTGCTTACCAGCTCTATGATCACAAACAAATTATTTTAATATCTCTGAGTTGCAAGTTCATCTGAAAAATGTAGGCATTAATACCTAGTTCACAAATTTGTTGTGAAGTTTAGATGAAATTATAAAAGTCTCTAGCTAGATGATTAGCATAGCTACATTAAAAAAAAAATACAGTGAACATTTATAGAGTATTTACTATGCACTTAGAATTATGCTAACTATTCTAGCTGGGTTATCATTTAACAGTCACAAAAACCATATTCTCTATACTTTGCAGATGATAAAACTTAAGAGAGAGGTAAGAAAATTGCACAAAGAAAAGCAAGTAATAAGTAGTGAAAATGAAGCATGAATCTGTGGGATTGTAACCAGTGTCACTAAAATGTATATGAACTGTTGAATGTAAAATGAATCTATGTTGTAAAATTGCACCCAAGTCACAATAAAAAAAGTTAAAAAGAAAGAAAGAAAATAAATCCAGCTTTGTCTAGTTCTGCATACTTTGTGACCACTGCCCTAGTCTGCCCCATACAACAAGATGTTTCCTTCTCCTGCCTTCCTTACCTCCTGACAAATTCTCAACTAAGCCACATGGGACTCATGACAACCTACTTTGTCCTTACGGAGAAAAAGTCCTTAGAGAAGGATATTATGGACAAGTCTGCATAAGAAAGAGGCAATAAATCAACTCCAAGCCAATGTCTAGCACAAAATGAGTTGGTGCTCAAGAAAGATTTGTGGAATAATGGATCTTCCAAGGAACACAAAACTTTGCTTTTCAGCTCAGTATGCAGCAAAAAGTAATTTCCATGTGTTTGAGGATTAGGTTACCCAGATTGGAACCAAACCAAGAGTTTAAGACTTGTGAGCTTGTGGGAAAACAACAAACACAAACACTACAAAGCCCATTGCAAACACCAGAAAATTTATAAACATAATCAATTATAAAGAAAAATAATTCCACTGTGATATGCAAAAGAAGAGAGTGAAGAAAGTAAAAGTGATGCTTGGCTCCTAAAATTTAGTTTCCAGTTCTTAATTTTCCTTGTGATCAATCACCAAGAGAGATTCTTAAGGGATGGAAAAACATAAAGTCGATATGGCAGTAAGTGTGGACTTGGATATGGCAAAGTAAGACATGCCAAGATGCAGCATACTCTGTCCACTCATAGGAGACGCTGCCAAGTAGTGCAAGAATGATGATGACAATATTAACAGCAGCAATTTCCATCATGTAACTATTATCTGTATTTTTTTTCATTTTAATTCTTTTATTTTTATTTATTTATGCAGATGAGATAGATCAAATCTCAGAGAAGATAAATAATCATCCCAGAGTTACACAGCTAGTGAGTAGCAGAGCTGGGATCCAAACCTCAGGCTTTTTCCACTATCCTAAACTGATGTTCAATATGGTTGTTTTATGTGCAACAAATTCTGAAGCATCCATTGCATCAGACAATACAATACCTTCCAAAACTGTAGAGTGAGAAGACATTTATTTTGCTTAAATGTCTAAACAATCCCAGACACTGGGAAATATACTGCATTGTTGCCTCGACCTCCTTGAGTCACAATCCTGATGTTTTGGTCATTCTACCTCTGCCATTCTCCGTCTCCAGAGGAAATGACTGTGCCTTGGTACTCACCTCTGGAAGGGACATGACAAAGGCATGCAGCTGAGCCTGCTTTGCGGCTGCTATGACTTTTTCCATGGGAATTTCTTTGGTGTTGTCTCCATATCTGATGTTGTCTGCTATGCTGCAGGCAAACAGCACAGGTTCCTGGGAAACAATTCCAATGTTTGAGCGGAGAAACTTGATATTTACCTTTGTGGTGTCATGGCCGTCTATCATCTGCCAACAGGATGAGAAAAAGGGTAATATGCCTTAGAATTCTAGCACTATGGAAAGTTCATATTTCACAGTCAAGTGCTATGTAGGGTGTTCATTTTGCTTAAGTGATAACAACCTCAGAGCTCTAGGAAGTAAATGTAAAACCTCACCTTTGAAGGTGAGGTCTGTCAAGAATAATGTCAAAGTTAACACTGGTTCAGACTATGGTTTTGTTAATATTTTCCCAAGCTGTAGCTCTATAGGGAATACAAATGAAAAAGGCACTCAGGACAGGATTTAGTTTTTAAAAGTCCCCTCATATTTGATGCAGTACACTCCCTACCAATATGTAGAATTGCTTCACTTTAGTACTCTATGAGGATAACAGTTCATCATGGACCAAAGCATGGCAGTGCGAAGCACTTTACCCTTGTGACTGAGAGCATGGGCTCCCAAATGTGGCTGTCAAAGAGTACATCCAGACTCCCTCCTCGGATTGATTACTAAACTCTCTATCCCTGTTTTTTCATGTGTTAAAAAACAATGATGATGAGAGCAGCCACCCAACAGATTGTTAGGAGGATCAGATAGCTCTAGAATCCCTCCATGGTGCAAAAGGTTTAAGTGCTCAGCTGCTAACCAAAAGGTTGGAAGTTTGAGTTCACCCAAAGGTACCTCAGAAGAAAGACCTGATGATCTACTTTCAAAACCTCATCCATTGACAACCCGGTGGAGCACAGTTCTACTCTGACATACATAGGGTCACCAGGAGTTGGAATCAACTCCAAAGCAACTGGTTTAGTAAAGCTCTGGGCATAGCAGTTGATGCCCAACAAGCATTCAGTAAACATAAGCACAAGTCATTTGACTGCTAACCAGAAGGCTGGTGGTTCAAATCTACCAGCCACTCCTCAGAAGGAAGATTAGGCAACCTACTTCCATAGTGATACTTCTTCAGAAACCCAAGGAGGGGTTGCTATGAGTTGGATCAAACTCAACGGCAGTGAGTTTGGGTTTTTTTTTTTTTTTTTTCTGTTGTTGTTGTTGTTATAATAATAGCAACATATTTGATTCAGTGGGGGATTAGAAAGTTAGATCCACTAGGTAGCAGTGGCAGTCACAACTGCTGGTGGTAGCTCCATGTGTTCCATCTAGTGTTAGATAAGGTCAGGTACATGAGTGGGTGCTCCTGCATCCTAGAGGCATGGGGGAGAAGACAGTCATTCTGAATGGTGCCAACAAATCTAAATTATCTGTGACGATTTTAAAAAATGAAAGAAAGAATCTAGGTGCTGAATGTGATTTAATAAATCAGATTTAATAAAAATCTGATGTAATAGTTCTATGTATTTAATAATAATATATAATGTCTGTGGTCAGCATTGAGAACCTAAGCACTTTGTTCCAGTTCCTATTTTTCTTAAATTGGGGTCTCCTAGTATGTTTGTCTGGGAGCTCTGGTAGCATAGTGGCTAAGACACTTGCCTGCTAACCAGAGGGCTGGCGGTTCAAACCCACCAGCCACTCCTCGGAAGGAAGATTGGGCAATCCTACTTCCGTAGTGATACTGCCTCGGAAACCCAAGGAGGGGTCGCTATGAGTCGGGTTTGACTCGACGGCACATAACAACAACAACAACAGTATGTTTGTCTTGCTACTTTTTCTTTTCATATGATCATTTCTAACAAAAATTATATCTGATCCATCATACATGCTTTTAAAGGTTCAGAGATACAAGTGTCTTCCTTCACGATGACTAAAATATCCACCATATTATAAGAAGTATGTGTCAAAAGATGCAGCCATTTTCATTTTTATTGATTAATAGATACTTGCAAAATTGATTATTTAGCTTAGATTTTATCTTCATTTGACAAATTTAACCACACATTCCCCCTCAAAACACACATCCCTAAGGTGAAGGAGTAAATGTGTGAGTAGGTGGATTTTTGTTTTTATTACAAAGTACATCTGCTATTTCTTGTTTGAAATTTCTTCTATCCTCTGAAACAATCTGGTTTAGTAAAAACTGCAGTAAGTTCCATTCCCCTTTGTAGAGGCAAGCTATGTCTGTTGTCATGGAATGTAGCTTCAACAAAACTGCCAAGAACTGATGATAAGTCAAAACTTCTATTCCTGTCTTCCTGTCTTAGCTGGCCTGGGAAAATTCTGTCCTTAGTGTAGATGCCTAATGTTACCACTTACCATTATCTATTTTCATGTGGTAGTTAAAGGTTATATTTGTTCATATAATAGCTTCTTGTATACATTTCTAAGATAGCTACTAAAAACCAATGTTATGAAAGGGGATTTTCTATGCAAAGTTAGTGGACAATATAAGGATCAAGCTTCTTTCCTTAATGTTATTGACATCATTCTCAAAATAACTGAGATGATAAACCCAAGTTAAGAAAGGAATACATTTATTTATTCACTTACTTAGTTGGTCAACAAACATGAATAATGAATTACCAGCTACAAAATTACCATGCTAGGTGCAGTCTGTGCGGCCACTATAAAAAGAAAACATACTCTCTGCTTCCAAGAAACTCATGGTTTAGTTAGATAATTAAACACAGATACTTGAATATCTACCATTGAAGGTTTTTCACTTAAGAATTCTCAAATATTAAAAGCACTCTATGTCTAACATACTACTATAAAGTATTTGACCCTAAAGACAGTTAATTTCAGAAAAAGGTTATGTTAAATGACTTGAACAAATTAAGATTGTTTATACTTTCTGGGCAACGGAAAAAGCAAACACTATAAGGAAAAAAATATACATTATTACATTATTCAGAAGTTCTATCCTCATTACAATAAAGCTTCTACTATTCAGGGAGCTCTGGTGGCGTAGTGCCTAAGGCATTTGACTGTTCACCAGAAGGCTAGCAGTTCAAACCCACTAGCCAGTACTCGGAAGGAAGACTGGGCAATCTACTTCTGTAGAGATACCACCTTGGAGGGGTTGCTATGAGTCAGAACCAACTCAGTGGCAGTGAGTTTGGTTTTTTTGGTTTTGGTATTCAGGGAAATCAGAAAGTCCACTTTTTCAGACTTAAGCTTCTGAACGCTTTTGAGAAAACTACTTCTGAATGTGCTCCAAGAAAATAAAGGTAAAAACAAAGAAAGATGAAGGCATAGGAATTAGGAAATAATGGATCTAATCCAAGTAAACATTGAAGAAAACTCACATGATAGTAATTGTTCAACAGGCTCAGATTAATCCAGATGGTGGCAGAGATAAGGCAAAGAAGCAGGTCTCAAGAACAGATGGCAAGATTGGAAGAATGTAAATATTTTATAAAGGCAAGAAAAAGGAAAGTCTGTCAGAAAAACAATCAGGAAAAAAAAATGTAATGCTAATCTAGCTCACTACTTGACTCTGGGATGAAATGTATTTATAGTCATAATATACAAGCTGTTAATTGATTTTTAAATTTTAGGATCAACTTAGAAGTGAGTGCATGAAAGATAATTAATGTTATAAATATAATGTGCTACTCTTTGTGATGGTAAAGAAATTTAATTGTTAGAATTTAAGATTTTTAAAAAAAGAGGGGGTGGGGAACAGGTTTGCAGATCTGATAGAGCCTGGTGGAACCACTGAGACTATGGCCCCTAGCTGCCTTTCAGGTCTGGAATTGAACGCACACTTGCAGCTTTCAGCCAAATAAAAGACAGGCATATGAGTTGAACATTTACCTGAGGTAGATACACTTCTTGGAGAGAACAATTACGGGAGAAAGAAGGGCTGTTTATGCACAAGGAGACAGCTCAGGGGGCAGGAGTGCATGGAGGGATGAACGCAGGGAAGAGGTAACTATCAGGAGGAAGTGGGAGGGGAGCTGTTGTGTTGTGGGTACAATCAATGTCATGAAACAAAGTATATGTGAGCTGCTGTATAGAAAGTGAATTTGCTCTGTACACGTTCGCCCAAATCACAATTTAAAAAAAAAAAGAAGAATTTAAGATTTAAAAACAGGGAGGAACAGTTGAAACTAAAGGTAGGATTGTTAACATTCTCATCTTGGAAAGTTGGAATTATATTATCCGTGGTTGAGGGAAAAAATAGAAGTGCAGTAGTTTAATTTACAAATAGAGGAAATAAAAATATTGATATAACTATATTAGAAGTAGGTGGGTAAAGGAACATGAGGATGATAAGGGTAAGTTAAAATTTCATCTCTTGGAAATAAGTCAATAGAGTCTGAATTTGTTAAATCATAAAACAGCAGCATAAGCATATTATTTAGAGATGTAATCACTGGGAGCTCTAAAAACAGAAGTGCTTAAAAATAGTTGCCTTTGAACAGAGAAATTGAGTGAGAGGATGGATGGATGGAGCAGGGGGTTGTTTTTCATTACAAAACTTTCTTTACAACTTGACTTTATCATCCTTTCCATGATTACATTCTGCGATACACAGATGACACAATCTTGCTTGCTGAAAGAAAAGTGTTTGAAGCACCTACTGATGAAGATCAAAGATTACAGCCTTCAGTATGGATTACACCTCAACATAAACAAAACAAAAATCCTCACAACTGGGCCAACAGCAAGACCATGATAAACAGAGAAAAGAGTGACATTATCAAGGATTTCGTTTTACTCGGATCCACAGTCAATTCCCGTGGAAGGAGCAGTGAAGAAATCAAATGATGTATTGCATTAGGCAAATCTGCTGCAAAAATATATTTTTTAAAAACACTTTAAATGTCAAAAGGCAAATACGTCACTAAAGATGTGACTAAAGTCAGCCTGACCCAAGGCATAGTGTCTTCAATTGTCTCATGCACATGTGAAAGCTGTGTCTCATGCACATGTGAAAGACAATGACTAAGGAAGAGTGAAGAATTGATGCATTTGAATTACAGTGCTGGTGAAGAATATTGAGAATACCATGGACTGCCAGAAGAATGAACAAATCTGTCTTGGAAGAAGTATAGCCAGAAGGCTCCTTAAATATGAGGATGGCGAGACATTGTCTCACATATTTTGGACATTGTTCTTGTTACCTAGTGCTACTGACAAGAATATACCACAAACGGGATGGCCTTAACAAACAGGAGTTTATTCTTACAATTTGGAGGCTTTAAGTCCAAGTTCAAAGTGCCAGGCTCTAGGGACTGGGTGAAAGCCCCTCAACCTTGGGGTCCAGTTCTGCCTCCTGCTCCCGGTCCACTGGAGCTGGAGGCATTTCTTCACTCAGACAGCTGCTGGCTGCTGAGGCTGAGAAGCCCCAAGGTTGACAAGTAAAAAGGCACGGTTTGATATTACCGAACCACATGGCAGGCCATTAACTTAAATCTATTGTAAGTCCCAAGGTTGGCAGAGCATGCATAGCAGGCTGCTGAGCAACGACACAGCTACATGCAGGGTCTAAGCGTGCCATAGGCTAGAGACCATTCTCAAAGCTTCTCCTTAAACACAGGAAGCAGACCACATCCCAAAGGCAGCTACTCAGCTGCTCGCAGTAGATTCCACCACGGAGTTGATTACCAGTCTCATCACCGGGAATACTACATCCAGCTGCCCAGCCATTCAACCAGGCCTAGCCAAGTTGACACACAAACATAACCACCACAGACATGTTATCAGAAAGGACTAGTCCCAGGAGAAGGACATCATGCTTGGTAGAGGGTCACCAAAAAAGAGCATGACCCTCAATGATACGGACTGACACAGTAGCTGCAACAACGGGTTCAAACAGCAATGATTGTGAGGATGGCACAAGATCAGGCAGTATTTCATTCTGTTGTGTATAGTGTCTCTATGAGAAATAGACAACTCAGTGGCACCTAACAAAAACACCAGCATATATTACCTTGGAAAAAAAAAAAAAAAGAAGAAGAAGAAGAAGAAAGAAAAGAAAGGAAAGCTTTAGAGAATAAGCAACAACAAGAAAAATCCACCCATTTTTCAAATATCCCTGCCAAAGCTTTACGGCTGATGACTATCAGTTTGAGTTCCTTATTTTATTTGATCTTAAGCTTCTTGAATCAAGATGGTCTCAGATTTTCATGCTAAGTCCCCTTTCTTGCTCATTTATCATTGTTTTCCTTATTACCCCCACTTTTTCCATTCCTGGTCATTAGTTTCCTGATTAGTCGGCACTTTCCGCTCCATTTACGGGTAAGTGAGTGCTTCTGTTAAATACGCTCATGACCAGCTTCACAGTGTGCACAGTTGTCTTTGCCTAACTGTGATAAGCTGGCCGTCTGGAACTGGGAAGAATCTGATGTTAGAAACTGTGAGGTAGAATCAGGTCAACAGGCAAATCACTGGGACTGGAAAACATCCAAGCGGTAAGCATACAAGGCAAGCCCTTTAGAAAGAGTCTGGCAAGGCACAATCCTAAAGACCAATTTGGCCGTTGGAGATATTCTATAGAAAGCAAAATTCACAAAAGCATTTGCATTGCTTACCACCTTCCCTTTGTCAGGATCATAGAAACGTTCCAACAGCTGAATACTGGTGCTCTTGCCACACCCACTGCTTCCAACAAATGCCATTGTCTGCCCTGGATTAACAGACACTGAGAGACCATTAAGAACTTGTACATCGGGCCGAGCAGGATATGTAAATTTGCAGTCAACAAAGTCAATCTTCCCCTGGAAGTTATCCTGTGGAGGGAAGTTTGGAGTTACATTTGTTCCTACTGGGGTCTAGAATATAGACAATGCACCTAAATCTGAGTTTTAAACCCCTGATTAAGATAACCTTCAAGACCATTTGTTATGGATTGAATTGTATCCCCCTAAAATACATATTACAGCCCTGGCCCCTGTACCTGTGGAGGTGATAACTGCTTAGAAATAGGGTTTTTCTTTTATTATATTGAGATCATACCAGAGTAGGATTGGCCCTAAATTTAATCACTTCTGAGTTGTAAAGAAAAAGAACCCCAGGAGTGGAGTGGTTAAAGCTCTCAGCTGCTAACTGAAAGGCTGGTGGTTCAAGCCCAGTAGCGACAGCACATAACAACAACAACAACAACAACAGCTGCTCTGCAGAAGAAAGACGTGACAGTTTGCATCTGTAAAGATTAAAGCCTTGTAAACTCTATGGGGTGGTTCTACCCTGTCCTACAGGGTAGAACCTGTTGCTATGAGTTGGAATCAACTTGAGAACAATGGGTTTTGGGAATTATAAAAAGAGAAGAATATACACAAAGACACACACAGAGAGATAAGACAGTGTATGAAGAGAGACACACAAGACAGGTGCATCTATAAACTCAGGAACCTCAAGGATTGCCCGCTAGTGTAGGCTCAAGTAAACAAAGACTCTCCTAGAGTCATACCCTGAATTTAGACTTCTAGCCTCCTGAACTGTGAGAAAAATAATTTCAGTTCTTTAAAATTACTCACTTGTGAGTTTTTGTTTTGTTTTGTTTTGTTATGGCAGCACTAGACATGGTGCTACCAAAACACACTGTATAGAGTTAGCAACTTAATGAAATAGCATTCAATTACCTATTCCAGCAAGTATAAAGTGGACATTGAGCAGTGAAATTATAGAAATTGGATCTCTCATTCCCATTTTAACTTAAGGGGATTTCTTTGTCATCTTGAATGGAAGGGAATAGCTCAAGACATTATCACACCATAGAAGTCAGCAACTGCCCAAACCCCTACAGCTCTGATACTGAAAAGACTTAAAATAAAGGCATTACACTTGAAATGACTTAAAGACTTGAACTATTTAGTGCAAAAGTGAATAACGTTCAACTGCATATTGGTGTACTTAAAAATAATATGAATTATGAGCAAACTATTTAAAATGGACATTTAGTAGACTACAAAGAGACTTTGCTTTTATACAGCTGATAGAGAAATGGGTCATTTGGCCAATTTTAAAAGATTTCTGAATTTAGTTTAGCTTTATTAGGGTTTAAGTTTTTTGTTTTCTTGAACCTACTGAGATTTTTAAAAATGGGCAGGAAAAACAAAACACCACCTCTGAGGACTATCAATTACAAGAAAAGATATTCTGTTGAGATCAAATTTATTTTCTGGTAAACCATGGGATCCTAGATAAGCTTGAACCAAATCACTATCATTGGAGAGGAAAATTCACTATTTCTGCATCCCACACACAGAAGAAAACATGGTGACTAGGTAAGTCCAAAAGACATCTGGCTTCATTCATTCTGGAACTAAGTGCATTTTATATTATACGGAATTTAGCATTCATTGGATATCACTGCCTTATTCAAATGTCAAATTTATGAATAATTATTAGTGTAATTTTACTTCAGTCTTTTACAAGTATAAATCTACTATTTGTCCATTCCAAGTGCATATGAATGAACCTGTATACTGCAGGAATTTAAAAGCTAAGTGGAATTATATGACCAGTCCCAATGACTGCTCTGTGGACACACACACATACACACACACACAACCGCCTCACCCCTTCCCACTACTTCACCATAGTACTTACCCATTTTTCACCTGCATCACTGTATACGTTGATTGGGGGTTGTCGGTCCAGCAGTTGGAAAAAGCGTGCAGCTGATATTTTAGCTTTGGCATAGCTTGGGGTGTAAGAGGAGGCTCTTCCGAGAGCTGTCCCACTCAGGACAACTGCTGTGATCACCCTGCAATCAGATGGACACCCAGGTAGAGAGGGGTGGGGTGTGGTTGGTTTAGTAACCTAAGATGCAGGAGGCTGGGATCCTAGCCCTAGTTCTACTAGAAAAAAGTGAGTAATTTTGTATAGATCATTTCCACTCTCTCAGCCATATCTGGGAAAGTGGGGATTGGAATAATAGCAGTTTCAAATTGTATTCTGTGCAAGAAGGGTGAGAGGAGGACTAAACAAGAGTAGCTCAGACCTCCCAACCTTGCTTTAGCCACAATAGCCTCTTATTAAGAAAATTAACACACACACAAACAAGATTTCTGAAAACAAGAGAAGGGGCTTGAAAAATCACTACATTGGGTGGTTTTCTTACAAGAGCATTCTCTCAATCTATGATAAATGTGTTAAAAAATGATTGGTGATATAAGCATCAATTCTGTGGCAAACATAGCATATAATTTCTACTTCAGACTGCATCAGAAAGACATGTTTACCTGTTCCTTTCTCTGTGTCCCAGCTCCTAACTATATTCAATATGTATTTAATGAATGAACAAATGAATGAGTGAGTAAATGAATGATAAACATGATGTGAGATAGTCCTGCTGCTGTATAGACCATGATATAAGGAGAAACTCCTAGAGTCATTCACCTGCACAAAGTTCACAGAGGGCCTGCCTCTCATGGGGGGGGAGGGGTCTTTGTGTATCTACCGCTCAGTTTATTAGCAGGAATTGTTTTAGATCAGGGGTTGTGAATTCAAACGTCTCTGGGAGACTGGTCAGGAGCTTAAAGACATGAAAAACACTTGGAATGAAACAGGAAATGGCAGAGGAAGACCTTCCAGTTTATAAAAAGAAACCAGAAATTGGAAGTTTCCTGCAGAGTCTCCCAATTTTTACATGTTGGCAAACAATTTCTTAAAATATTTTGTATCAACTAAATAAAACTAAGTCAACAGTTTGTGATCTCTGGTTTGAACTAGCAACTTTAAATATGCAAAGATTCACAAAAGAGACTCTCCTGATTGGGTGGGTGTAGTGGGATGGGAGAGAAGCATTAGAAGAAACATAGACGGCAAGGAGGCCAAATTCATGCTTGGGAATGACACCCAAAAGAATAGATTCTTATTGGGTCTACTTTTCCTAATGCCCTCCAAGGCTTTCTTAGACTATCCCCACCCAAACCCCCCAACACTTGAATTCTGAGCTCTGGCATCCTTAGGTTATCACTTCTAGAAATGTAAGAAACTGGACTCAAAGCTAATCTTATAGAAGAACAGATTCTGGCCGTAAGAAAGGAATATAACTCCCTTGTACTGGGCTTTACTGTCTCTACCGATGAGGTGTTAGCTGAAAAACATGCCCTCTTTTCAAAAGAGGAGTAGAGTTCAAACCGGATAGTTCTATGAACCATCTGGAATCCCTGGATGTTGCAAACAGTTCAGGTGCTCTGCTGCTAGCCAAAATGTTGGAGGTTTGAGTTTATCCAGAGACACCTTGAAAGAAAGATCTAGTGATCTGGTTCCAAAATATCAGCCACTGAAAACCCTGTGAAGCACAGGTCTACTCTGACACATGGGGTCACCATGAGTAGAAATTGGCTTGATGATATCTGGTTGTTTTTATCAGCCATCATATTCAAAGGTTTCTGTTTTCTTCTCCAGCATTAACTACTGTGGTAGATTGTTTGTAAAAATGCTCATCGTAATTCATCCTCTCATTGTAAATGCACCACTTTGCAGAATTTCTTTTTCACTCCTCTCATCCATGAAGTGGTAAATAACCTTTCTCCATTCTTTAAATCTGGGCTTGGTCATAAGGCTTTCATTGGCCAATGAGACAATAGAAAATGTGAAGCATGCTGAAACCTGATAAGTGCTTGTACATTGGGGGTTATCTTCAGTACTCTGAGAATATAATTGGAAGAAACTCATCTGCTAGAGAGACCCTGTGATACAGAAGGCCAAACTTCCCAGCCATTTGTGCACCCCAGCTGAGGTCCTAGCTTATCTGACCCAGACTCTGACTGAGTCTTTCAGAAGAATTACCTTGCCAATCCACAGAATCCTGAGAAATAATTAACCTCAGTTGTTTTAGACATCAAATTTGGGATAGTTTGTTAAACAACAAAAGCTAACTGATAGAACTCAATGGTCAAGAAGATGGTGAAGAATGGGGTAACAATGATAATAACTCCTCCTTAGAGTGTTGAACTTTTATGACTTTGGCCACATCGTCCTCACCTGAACACATAGCTGAAGTGCAGTCCTTCATAGAGGATTAAGTAACCTCCATATCGGTAGGAAGCAGAATTAGCAATAAATGTTATGCATTGGGAAAAGCCAAAACAGACGCCATATACATTTGCCTTTCGAATGGCTGTCTTAAATGGCTTCTCCAGTTCAGCCTCATATGCTTCAATGAACTGTCTCTCCTTTCCAATGCCAGCAATAGTGCGGATGTTACTGAGGGCTTCATTTGCAATCTAAAGAATGAAAAAGAGTCTTAGGAATAACAGGACAAGGATAACACCTTCCATGACATTTCAATGGCTACATGGATTGGAACAGGTACAAACGGTAGAATGTAGTACAAATCAGAGATAGGGACATAAAAGAAGTAGCCAGAAATCAACCCAACTGTACCAGGAGACATTTTGTCAGTTAAATACAAGTTCTCTCTAATTCTAATGTCTTTGTTTTCTCCACTTATGATGTAAGAGAGAAGAGGGAAAAAGTACCTGTTTGGAACAGTTAACACATTCAGCTGCTAACCAAAAGGTTGGAGGTCTAAGTCCACTCAGGGGTACCTCAGAAGAAAGGCCTGGTGATCTACTTCTGAAAAATCAGCCATTGAAAACCCTATGGCACACATGGGTTTGCCATAAGTCAGAGTCATCTCAGTGGCAACTAAAACAGGATGGTTACATATGAAAGCTCTTTAATTTCTTTGCTGATCCATTTGAAATGTCTGAAATGGTATCTAATTTGTAATATGTCTTCTGAGAGAAAAGATGATTTAATATCACATTCTGTTTTCTTAAAAATTTAATCTGATAAAATATTATACAAAATAACTTAAAATTAAATATAAAGTTTATCTTTTAGATTATATTGTAAATTTGAATTTCTTTGAATCTACCCTCTGTAGTAAATAAGTATTGTTTCTGAACTAGGGTCCTTCCCTAAAAAATGACACAATGGTGGACATTATATATGATTATATATCCTTTGGATTATATATCCTTTTGGCTTCCACCTGTTGTTGTTGTTTGGTGCCATCGAGTCACTTCCAACACAAAGCAACTACATGTACAACAGAATAATACACTGCTTGGTCTTCCACCATCCACCCAGTCATTGCTATGTTTGAGCCTTGTGTAGCAGCCACTGTGTCAATCTATCTTATTGAATGTCTTCCTCTTTTTAGCTGACCCTCTACTTTACCAAGTATGATGTCTTTCTCCAGGGACTGAGCCCTCCTGTTAACATGTTCAAAGTATGTGAGAAGAAATCTTGTCATCTGCACTTCCAAGGAGAATTCTGGCTGTACTTCTTCCAAGACAGATTTGCTCATTCTTCAGGCAGTCCATGGTACATTCAATATTCTTTGCTAATACCGTCATTCAAAAGCATCAATTTCTTCAGTCTTCCTTACCCATTGTCTAGGTTTCACATGCGTATGAGATGATTGACAATACCATGGCATGGGTCAGGCTTGTCTTTTCTCTTTAACATTTTAAATAGATCTTTTGCAGCAGATTTGTGGAATGTAATACATTGTTTGATATCTTAACTGCTGCTTCCTTGGGTGTTGATTGTGGATCCAAGTAAAATTAAATCCTTGACAACTTCAATCTTTTCTCCATTTATTATGGTGTTGCTTATTGACCCATTTGTGAAGCCTTTTGTTTTCTTTATGTTGAGGTATAATCCATACTGAAGGCTATAGTTGTAGTCTTCAATCTTCATAACAATTGTTTCAAATCCTCTTCACTTTCAGCAAGCAAAGTTGTGTCATCTGCATATTGCAGGTTGTTAATGAGCTTTCCTCCAATCCCAATGCCACATTCTTTTTTTGTTTTGTTTTATTTTGTAATTTCTTTTTTTAAAATGCATTTTATTGAAATATGTACAGTGAAATACACAAAACTAAAGTGACATGGGTCAATGCATTTTTATTTATTTATTTATTTATTTGCAGTGTTCCCTTCCCTCCCCTCCCACCCCTGGCAACCAACAAAGAAAGTTTCCCTCCATATGTAAACCTTTCCTTGACCTCCACAACAACGAACTAATACTATATTTGTCCTTCTGTGATTGACTTATTCACTCAGCATAATGCTCTCAAAGTTCATACATGTTATGTGGTGTTTTGCAGACTTTACATTATTCTTTAGCGCTGCATAGCATTCCATTGTGTATATGTACTGTAGTTTGGTCATCCACTCTTCCACTGATGGCCAAATAGGTTGTTCTCATCTTTTTGCTATTGTAAATAGTGCTGCAATGAAAATGAGTATGCATATACCTGTTCCTGTCCTACCTCTCCCCTCTCTAGAATATATACCTAGTAATGGGATTGCTGGGTCAAATGGTATCTCCAGTTCCAGCTTTCTAAGAAATTGCCATGCTGCTTTCCACAGTGGCTGTATCACTTCATGGTCCCACCGGCAATGTATGAGACTCCCAATCTCTCCACATCCCCACCAGCATTTGTTATTTTCTGTCTCATTGAACCTTGCCATCAGTGCTGGGGTGAGATGGTATCTCATTGTTGTCTTGATTTGCATCTCTCTGATGGCCAGTGATTGTGAACATCTGTTCATGTATTTGCTGGCCACCTGAATATCTTCCTTGGTGAAGTGTCTATTCATGTCTTCTGCCCATTTTTCTACTGGATTGTTAATTCCTTTGTTGTTGAGGCGCTGGACTTTTCAATAAATCTTAGAGGTAAGTGCCTTGCCATGTATGTAATTATCAACAAGTATGAATTTATTGCTATCATGTTTGTTATGTGCTTTTTCATGGTGTTGATTTCTTTGTTATTGTTGTTGAAATGTGTCATCGAGTCGGACCCAACTCATAGTGACCCCTCCTTCCTTCCTTCCGAGGAGTGGCTGGTGGGTTTGAACCGCCAGCCTTCTGGTTAGCAGTCAAGTGTCTTAGGCACTATGCTATCAGAGCTCTTTGATATCTTTGTTCCATATAAGTTTCTGTGCTGAGCTCATCTTGTTTATGAATCGCGTTATTGCTTCCTTTGTTGCTATTGTTTTAGTATTTGCTAAAAATTTGTGCTGGTCCTTTTTTTTATTTTGATGTGAAGGTTTATCATTTTTCTTTGAGGTTACCCTGTGATTTATAATTTTCTACCCAAGTTTAGAACAGTCCGTTCTAGCTTGTAGTTGTTTTGACTTCCTTACCATTTAGAAGTTCTCTAACTACACAATTTTTTCCCTTTTTCTTTTTGGTTTGTAGTTGTCCTCATTTACCAATTGATGTCTCCAGTTCCCTGTTTACAATCTTGTTGGCTTATTTACTTTGGATACTTCCACAGCTGGATTGGTTTCTGCGTTATGTCATCATTTGTGTTAATGATCAGTTTTTGTTTGCTCATGTTGCTTCTCTGTCCAAAGGACTCCCTTTGGCATCTCGTAAGGTTGGTCTGGTTTTAACAAATTCCTTTAATTTCTGCTTATCTGGAAGTATCCTAATTTCACCATCACATTTGAGGGACAATTTTGCTGGGTACATAATTGTTGGTTAGAAATTTTTCTCTTTCAGGGTTTTATATATACCATCCCATTGTCTTCTTGCCTGCATGGTTTCTGCCAAGAAATCCAAGCTTAGTCTTACTGGTTGTCCCTGGTAGGTAACTTTTCATTTTTCCCGTGCTCCCTTCAGGATTCTTTCTTTGTCTTCAGTTTTGGTGAGTTTGATGATGTTATGTCTTGGTGATTTTCTCTTGGGGTCTATTCATTGGACTTCTTGAATGGCTATATTCTCATCTTTCATCATACCTGGAAAATTCTCTTCCAACAAATCTTCAACAATTTTTTTCTGTGGTTTTATTTGTCTCTTCCTGTTCTGGAATTCTGATTACACATAGGTTATTCCTTTTGGTGGTATCCCACATGAACCTTACGCTTGCTTCATTTTGTTTTGATCTTTTTTCTGATTGATTGCTTTCCAAAGAAGTATTGAGGTATTTGCCTTCAATCTTACTAATT